GCAAGGGTTCCTTTAAGGGTTGCTTCCGGGAGTCCCTCAAGGTGCGCTTTTTAGGGCGTTTCTGAGTTTCAAGTCCTGGGTTTTTTGCTTAGGGTTTGGATCATGAGCTTTAAGGGTTTTGCTTTTGGGATTTCGGAATTTAGAGTCTGATCCAGTGCAGGTTGAGGAGGGTTTGGGATGGCTTTAGGTTTAGGCTCAGGACTTCGGCATTTCAGGCCTGGCGTACTCACCAAAGGCTCGGGCGTTGAACATGTTGACTTTGGTAGGTCGGGGGCTTGGACTTAATGTGGAGCTAAGGGGCTTGGGGCCTCAGCACATCTTCGAGGAGTCTCCGATACGGAGTGCGCAATGCTTATCGGAAACTGTTCTTGGCACCTTCCTTGAACTAGGCACCCCATGGAATGCTCGTTTTTCCACAGAGCTTGGAAATGCCTGTGCCAATCGAGGTTGCGTCCACTCGGAACATCGGGAAGAGAAGTGTTTTGCAGTCAGAAATGACATGCCAGATAGCTGCAGCTAGTTCGAATAGGCTGGCAACAGGGCACTAAGAGGCTTGCTAATCATACTGCCCGCCTAGCAAGCCCTTATCCCTGAACCCAAAGCCTTGCCAAACCCTACACCCCAAGCCTAAATCCCAAACCCTAAGCCTCACTTCCCCCCCCTGGGCTATGCATGCCAGGAAACCCCACTAACCCTTTTTTTGCATCAGGGCTTGTGCAATCGCCTGAAAACCACACTAAACCCTGAACCCCAAACTTTCCATCTCCTCGTGCACTCCCAAGTTTGGGGCGGCAGCGATCGGTACCTTGGCAGTTTTCAGGGTAAGGTTTGAGGGTTGAGGGCTGAGGCCTTCGTATCCCCCCTGAACAAAAAACCTAAAGCCATGAGACTTCCATCTCCAAGCCCCCGAGGCCCACCTCCAAACGCCTAACAGTCCCAACCCTAAACCCTTCTTCTCCTTTGCAGAGACGTGATTGGAGCTCGCCCGGCCAGCCCTAAGCCCCAAGCCCCTAAACCNNTAAACCCTAAACCCCTAGCCCCTAAGCCCTAAACCCTAAACCCTAAACCCCTAAACCCCTAAGCCCTAAACCCTAAACCCTACTCCCTAAACCCTAAAAGCCTTAAAAACCCTAAACCCTAAACCGCAAACCCCAAACCCTAAGCCCCAAGCCCCTAAACCCTAAGCCCTAAGCTTTATAAAGCCTAAAACCCCAAAACCCAAAGCCCCTATTAAACCCTGAACCCAAGCCTTGTACTAGTACGGCCTGAAGCTCTCGGCGCCGAATTGGAATACCGGGCTTTGGGCTTTGGGGCTGATAGGTCTTAGGGTTTAGGGTGCGCTTTAGGGTTTAGGTTTTAGGGTTTTAGGGTTTAGGGTTTAGGGTCTAGGGCTTAGGTCTTAGGGTTTTGGGGGCGCTTTAGGGCTTAGGGTGCGTCAGGTGTTGAAAACTCTGTGGCAGGACGCGCAGGGCCTTACTAACTAGAGTGGGGTTCTGGTGTTAGCCCACAATGACCTGCAAGAGCTGCAAGAAGGAGCCCTGAGGAATAGCATTACTTAACTGGGTTGTAGTTTTGGGGCCCTGAAAAGTATGTATGAATAGGTACCTCTATAGAAACCATAAAGGAAATTTTTAAATTTCCCAAATTGCCACCTACTTAATTATGAACTCTATCAGAGGAGAGCTGAAGCGCTTCGTACACGTCCTGGCCCGGCGTCACGTCGAAGCTGTAGCTCCCAATTTGGGTCATCCTGAGATGTCGCCGAGCCACTGGAGGGTGAAGGGCTTTCGGGGGGACTAGGATGTGCAGTTTCGGGTTTAGGACTTTTAGGGATTTTTTTGCCTCCTACTTAGCAAGGACGAGCCCGCATTGCAGGGTAGTATGACGTTTAGGGATTAGGGTTTAGGGATTAGTGCTGGTTGTAGGCGTGGCTTAGGGCTTTTGGCCCGCGGGATCGTCTGCACTTCATACACGCTCGTGAGCTTCTGCTTGTGCTTTTGCTTCTCCAGGTCTTCCTCACGTATGTTGTGAATAACGGCGATGAGACTGAAGATGATGACCCACGAGGTGCTTCGGAAGGTGAGCGATGATAGCGAGACGTTGAGGAAGACAATTCTGGCCACTGCCGTGTCGTGGACTGTTGCCGCTGCCGCTGCTGGTGCTGACATTGCTGTTGTCGTAACTTTGCTGCTTCAGACGAAGCAGACGAACACGTATGCAACACTTCCTCACCGAAGGCACACAAAGGTAGAGGATTGTTAATTTGCGGGGCTTGAAGATTAGGGTTAGGGTCAGGATCAATATCTGAGCTATAAGCAAATCAAGCCTAGCAGCAGGTCCACGCGCACAGGTTCCGTTCCAATGCCTGCAGATCATTATGCTTCCTACATCTTCGCTAAGATTCTCTCCGTGCACGAAGTAGCACGGGCACGGGCATCACAAGTAAACTTTCAACTCGATATGTAGAACGGCAAAACCCCCGTAATGGCTCCGAACCCTGAGCTACTGCTCCCAAAGAGCTAAAGCATTAAAAAACAGAGTTCAGCCCGAGGCCTTTAATGACTGTAATGCTTTTGAGGCGTTTGGATGCAAGGGCTCAAGGGTCGCGTGGGTTCAAGGTTAAGGATTTAGAGTAGCTCTAGGGGTCTAGGTTTACCCTTTTGAACTTGACCCTAAACCCCAAACCCTCGGTCTTTCTTCCGGCCTAGGAATGCCCAGGACCCAGAGTTGTGATTTGGAACCCTAAACCCTAAACCGTCCTACAGGGTTCGGAGTGCCACGTGGAGACTTTCGACTCTCACTCTCGCACGAGGCGTTGCAAGGCTCCACACAAGTCCGTCACCGCAAGAGAAGTGCCCCGGGCAACACGCGTGCAGACTTGAAGGGTCAGAGCTTCGCTTCGATGCACGAAACAATACAGGTAATAATATTCATAATCATGATTGGGCATAGATATGATAACAGTGATAATGGCTAATGGTAAAAATAAGACTGGTCCACCTGAAAGCCGAAAGCTTGAAACTCGTTTCGTGGCGTGTGTGGTAAGCTGCAGAGATTCAGCTCCCATCGTCAGTTACCAGGCTGACCACATACCCAAGTACATGGAAGGGTGAGTTCTCAGAACCAAAATAAATCATTGCCCCTGCCCCAAGAAAGAAGAGTTGGGTAGTGGAGGACTAACCCCCCAGTCCGCAGAAAACTGCACAGTACATCCTCATCCCCAAAACCTACACCCCTGGAGCCCAAAGTCCTCAAGCCATAATTACTCCTAACAGCCTAAGCCCCGCACCCGGCCTGTAACACCGATGGCCTTTCCTGTTTCGATCTGTGCATGCCGACGGGTAGTTCCCGTGTGGAAGGAGATGATCGCACCTCGAAAAGTTAGGGCTTTGGGTTTAGGTTGGCATTTCGTCCATTTTAGGCTCGATCTGCTGATGGTGACGAAGATGATGATGATGATGATGATGATGATGATAGCGAAGTTGGCGCTGCCGTTGTTTATGTTGCTGATGCTGTTGTTGTTGTTGTTGCTGCTGCTGCTGCTTGCTGGTGCTGACGCTGGCTGTGTTGCTGTTACTGCTGATGTCGCTCCTGCGTCTTGTGCACTCGCCGGAACCCCATGTCTAGATCATTTCGTTCATGCCACCATGATTGGACGGCTACGGATACTAAATCTATGTCAAGGATTTTGATCTGGGTGGTGTCTGTTGCCCCACTTTAAGCGTCAAGGCTGGAAGCTTAGCGTGCAGGATATTAGACGTTTACACTGTGCGTGACGGTTGGAGTTGCGTAATGGCTACACGTCAAACTTTAGACCAGGACATGGCCTAATACAGGAGCCTTAAGAATTAGAATTGGGTTTGGGGGTATATTATACTATAATTCTCATAAGGAGCCTTCAAAAACCCTAAACCCTAAAACCCCTAAAATACTAGGGGTTTTAAGGAGCCTTCAAAAACCCGAGTCTAATTATGAAGGCACCTACAGGATGCGGTCACATTGCCACTCCCAGCTCGTAGCGAGCTTGGCATGGTCCGTCTCGTTCGCCCTTCCTTCCTCTCAGATAAAGCCCTCATGGCCAAGAAACCTAATTAACCTATAATATATGATAATATACTATGATATATTATGATATATTATAGTATACCATCATAGACTATACTATAATATACCCTGAGACCTTAAAAGGAATAGCAACTCTCCTCACCGCTTCCAATTCAGCGCCGGGGTGCCAGGGGGCAAATCACCGGAGTCGATCACTGTGACCTTGCGCCAGCAACGGTTTAGGGTTTACAGTAGGGTTTAGGGGTTTAGGGTTTAGGGTTTGTGACCTTGCGCCAGCAGTAGCGGGAGCAGCGAGGAAGCAGTCACGGTCACACAAATTTCCAAAAATAGGGGATCCTGATATAGTACCCTAAATAATAGGATCCCTATTATCAGGACCCCAAAATAAGGTACCCCTAATATTCTGAAACTCCCAAATTGTTCGGAAAGAACGCAGGCGTATCAGCCTTGTGCTATGTGCAGTCGAAAAGGATGGGAGGGACCAGACGATCCAACCAAAGAAGAAAGTGTGAATCAACAGGACTACCATGAATACCCTCATCAACCTCAGCTTCATTAAATATGCTCACCACCGCCAGGAACATGATGATGCTCTTCTTCGTTGGAAAAAACCATTCTCATCATCGTCGTCATCATCATAACCATGGTCATCAGACCGTTACTATCCTCACCACCCTCGCCATCATCAGCATGAGGAGTCATCATCTCCATCACTATCTCGATTAAGAATCCCCCGCCATGTTCAATATCATGCCAATTCAAAACCTTTTGCCTTAAACCCCTGAACCCTAAACACTTGCAACCAGCGAAGTTGCCCTGGAGCCCCGTCTAGAGCCTGCTTCGAATAAAGTATACCGTAAACTATAGTAATAGTACAATATAGCATCCTCAACCCCAGCTGACTGGAAGTATCGCGGTTCTCAACGCAGGCCCGCACACGCGATTGCCAAATCGGCCCCGGCGGAGCAGAAAAACATCACGAGAAGTACTTCCTCCAAAGCCCCCAGAAGTTTTCGGTTTGGGCATTCAATCTCGGGCAAGCCTGGCAGAGAACTCGACAAGCCGGTCTCGGAGCGAAACAAGGGACCCTAACAGTAGAGATGCCAAAGTAGAAATACAGAAAAGACCAGGACACAGTACAAGTAAGCCAACCCGAAAAATCCAAGAACCAGCCTAAGTAAACCCTCAACACTAAACCCGTAAACCCTAAACCCTTTCCCGAAACCCTGTTCCGTCCCAGCCACTTCCATTTCCGTCGGGAGATCTTCCGGTCCCGCGTTACAGGGCCGATCCGATCTTCAGTTGGCGTCTGATGCTTGGGCCAACTGCTTCTGGTGCTCACAAGTCCGTCTTCAGTGGCAGCACTTGGAAAGGGCATCGTTTAGGGTTTAGGGTTTGGTCGGGTTTTGGGTTTTTATGTGTGTTTAGGGAAGATTTTGGGTTTGGGTTGTTGGCTTTAGGCTGGATGTTGGTTTAGGGTTTAGGGTTTTTGACTCACACACTCGCGCAAGGCAGGCATGGCTAGGGTTTAGGGTGGGTTTAGGATTTTGGTTTAGGGTCTCGGGTTGAGATCCACAGATTATAGAGTTTCGAGGGCCTGAACCGGAACAGGGGAGTCTCATGAAAAACCCAAGTGCAACAAACTGCACTTACCAAGATATACTAACGCAACTCAGTAAAACATAACGTACTACAATAAAAACTACTGTTATTCAATGTAACATAGTAAGAATATATAGATAGAATAAGATATTTACAACATATAATCTAACATAGATATAATGTTAAACATAATGCCATATAGAATATTTAAACGGAGAAGATAATCTCACAACAAAATTTACTGAATAAATACATACATACATATATACATATATGTATGATATAGTTACAAAATACATACATCGATGTCTGCATGGTCTGATCTGATCTGATCACAGGACATAACACAATATAACGATCCATATAATATATCATTAATGCACGACCTATACTTAGTGGCCGTCGGGGTCGCCGTCGCAGTAGGGCCAAGCAACAGCATAGAAAATGGGCGTGCAAACACTAGCTGCTCTGCATGCGCACGCTGCACGTGAACACGAAAGCATACCCAAATGGACATCTTCGAATGTTTGCAGGACTTGCATGCCGCTTCCACCCCATCGGCACTTGAGAGCTCGCAGTGCTCAAAACATGGCAGCCGAATCGCAAACACAACAGATACTCGTCTGAGGGTGACCTCCTCCTACGTTCTACTCTCAAGTGCATGCATCGCTCTTCTCCCCACCAACTGTAAGAGCCCACCTGGCAGCAGCATAGATCAGCATGTCCTGGTCCCGGTGATCAGGGCATTTTCTCAATGGGGGAAACGCTCCGAAAGGGCCTGCAGGGATCCCCGAAACACAGCCAAGGCTGAACGAGCGAAAAGGGGCCATGCTTCAACCCGAGGTTTAGCGACTAGGGTTTAGAGTCTTGAGGGTTGCAAGTTACAAAAGACAAACCCCGTAACACCCTCGAGCCAGAAACCAGATGGGTCTGGGAGTTAGGGCTTTAGGCCAACTGTAGGGATAAAGGTTTAGGGTTTAGGGTTTATGGTTTAGGGGGTTTAGGGTTTAGGGTTCCTAAACCCTAAACCCTAAACCGTGACCCATATCCGCTCCTGCCGGTTGAAAGCTGCGATCTGCTGCAAGGCGAAGCTCGGCAATGTCCGGCGCAATGCGCCGCCACGAGATCTGGGAGCCATTCATACAGTATGTCCTGTGGTATCGTACAGTTAACAGCGTACAATTGACAAACTACTGTATGTCGATTTGTGCTATGCGGAGCTGTGCTCTAAATATACTGCACTACAAAGGTTACATACTGTACGTAGTTTCGAAGAATGAAACAGACGCCGAATGCCTTGAACTAGTTACACTGGGATCCGGTAGCCTCTCCGAAGGGGGAGGCCCTTGAATACAGCCGTCCACATACAAGGAGCTCTCTGACGGTGGCTCGAAAATCGAAAGCCTGCTTCGGAAACCAGACCAAGGGACCACTTAAGGGTTCATTCTCTGGAGTATGTGCTGCCGGCAAGTGTCGGATTCCGTATCCGACACTGATGCCTCGTGCAACCATCGGGCATATGTTGATAGGAACCCCCGTGATCTTAAACACCTAAGAGCGGGCAAACAAACTAAGAACATAATCTCAGCCTTTGGAAAGATGGGGCGGTACTACGGAATGCAGATGCTATGTCATAGTAAGTCGTGGTCCCAGTAAGATTCTCTTGGAACTATTAGGAGCTGTTGAAGGAGATATACAGCAATTCACTGCCCAAGCCTTTCAGGGCTCTCACACCCCGACGGCAGTTCTTCCCTATAGTCTCCATTCTAGTTCCTTTTGCGGGGATACCTTATAAAATCCTTACTATATAATTGGTTAGACCAAAAAACAGGAACTACAATGGAGACTGTAGGTAACATGCGAGCTTGGTTTTCGGAAGCCTTGTTCAAGGCACAAAGAGCTTGGCCCGACAGGCTCCGAATAGAACGGTTTAGGGTTCAGGGCTCAGGGTTCAGGGTTTAGGGTTTAGGGATCAGGGCTTAGGGTTTAGGGCATAGAACTGCTTCTGCGACTTTGCATATCTGACTTCCCTGCTACCGTGTTGCTTCGGCATTACCGGCTGTTTAACAACCCCTCCCCGAAATACCAGCGCTAGACTCCCTCGAACCTGAAAGCCGAAGATCCCTGCGGGTTTGCCAATCTTGAAAAAGAGGTTTTGGTATTAAGTCTCCCCGGAAAGAAAACCCAACACATAATCATCAATTTCATTGCGGAGTCCAGAGCAGCCAGTACATTCTGAGCCCAACGGCATTCAGACTTGCAGCTCAAGTCGTATCATAGGACTGAAAAAGACACGATGACCCGCATAACAACACTAAAACAACAAGATGTGAGAACTGTTTCAGAAGCCCAGCCTTGCGGCATCCGTCGCACTGCGCGTGCGCCGGGGCTCCTGTAGTGAGAACTGTGCAAGTGCAATGATAACATGAACAGCTCTACGGGTTCCAAGAGCCTCAAGTTTACACTCCCTGAGGGTGCAAGGTAAGGTTGGGGGCCCTTAAAACCCTGCAACCTTAAAGCCCTTTTGCAACTGGCTTGCAACGGCACGCCGGGACACCCTAAACCCTCAAAGGCGTTCTTTTATCGTGCCCCTGTTCTACTCGCTTCCCATCGGGTTTAGGGTTTAGGGTTGTAGGGTTTAGGGATTCAAGGCTCCAGGAGTGTGATCTTTTTGCTGTCTGAGGGCTTTCTGCCTTCGGGTCCGATCAAGAGTACGATCTTGGGCCCAGAGAATGAAGAATAGTATTATCAGAACTGCTGCACATACAAACAAACAAACTGAACGAGGATTCTCGAAATCGGCACATGCTCGTCGTCGGAAATATTTATCGAATCTACTTTCCTTTACAGCCCTGAATCCAACATATTTCAAAAGGCTCAATAATTCCACACAGAGGTTGTGTTAAGGAAGTTTCCGGAAGGAGCCTTGGCAGAGTTTCGGGCAAGTCCGACTCACGAGGCCACATCAAGAAGCTGGCGTTTTCGAGTCATAACGAAGCGTTGATGAGTTCAGGTGAAATTCATGTTTTTGGCCGTGTATGCACAGAAACGACATGAAGACCCACTAAGCAACCAGGCCAGCACAATTCAATCGTTTGCTTTTTCTGATTTCTCTCCGATGGCTATCACGTCCGGCTTGCAACCCCCTTCCCGACCGCATCTGCGTCGTGTGGGCCTTTCGCGGCGCATAAGCTCTAACATCCGCCCAGGAGACCGAACAAAACACCACATACCCGCTCTACCGTCGTCGGCAAAACCGAGACACGAGATGGGCAAGACCAGCAACTGGCGGATGTTGTGAAACAGACATGCTGAAGCAATGCCTTTGGGAATTCGCACCGTCGTTCAGTCATTGAAACGACAGGAGCCAAGGTTGCAACACACTTGTCCTTGTATACAAGCAACGAATGATTCGATGGCCGCTAAGTCTCCGGCAGCCTTCCGAAACTACTATAGGTCCAGCCTGTGTGCCAAGAAAGAACTACGTAAATTCGGCGGAGGGTTGTGGTTTTGGGCAAAACGCCCGAAATGCTGATCCCTAGTTCAAGCAGTCATGGCACTTTCCGCAGAGCAGCAGAGAATCCTAAAACATTGGAGTAAACATTGGGACGCAGGCAGCACTTGCACAGAGCTACGAAACCCAACTGGGTCGACGAGAGGCTCAGTGAGATGACACTTGTGGATTTTACACGCCCTGTCGAGGGCTTCTGGAAGGATTCCACATGCTTCTATGAGGGTTGTATGGGCTTTATAAGGTGTTCTTCCGCTTAACGGAAGTTGTGGAGCGGGGCTTCTGAAGTCAATATATGCACTTACTACAAGCAGTATCCGCAAGATAGTCCGCGTAGACTTGTAGCATCACGTCCACCAAACCCCTACATGATCATCAAATGGTGCTCTTTTTGGTTGGAAAAACCCCGGAGAGATGAACAAAAAGCCAAAGCTCAGCTGACCCTTACCGCTTCCGATGCGCTGAGCCCCTCGCCAAGATGCAAGGCTATGTCGGGGGTCTCCAAAACTTGGACATCTCTCTTGGGACCTCAAAGGGAGCCCTGTCCTTACATGACAAACCTCTTACGATGTCATCAGGGCTCTTGACCCTAAACCCTAAACCCTAAAACCCTAAACACTGAAACGTCTTTAGCATTATCGGGCTGAACACCCGCTTCTCAAACGTACAGCGGAGCCGTTGCAGCCAAGGTCAGAGTCCCCTGCATTCATGGTAACATAGGGGCCTTGTGAATGAAACTCGGGTTTGGAGCCGTGCTCCCGGGTCATCAATGTTTAGGGATATAGGGACTATACGGGATTTTACACTTCTATGAGAACCGTCTTCATCACTTTTTGGGAATAGGGATACTAGTGCTGCAGGCCCCTATTTAACTTGGACCTAGCCAGTCCGCAGGAGCCGTTCTCATCTCCATGGGAGGATCTCTGCTCGCAACAAGGTCCACAGTGACAGCACCTCGATCAGACTTGCTCTGAGCGCTTGGGGCAAGAAGTTCCGCAGTGACAGCACCCAGAGGGAGCGGTTGAGTCGTTTGAGAGTCGGACCTTTCGATGAGGGGTCAAAATGCGACGATGTGTTCGTGACTGTATGAGCCTATAGCTACCACGAGCACCACAAGGTCAAAGGTTACGTAATTCGGGAGTTTAGGGTTTATAGAAGGCAGGCCTCGGGTTTCGGCTTACATCGATCAGGCCTGTACTTTTGCTGACATCTCGCTGAGGCCGACACCCACATAACGACTGTTCCAACGGAGCATGCGCCACTGACCTTTGGGGGTAGGGAAGGCGTTCGACTCCCAAAAAGGAGCCCTGAGGCAAAGCTCGGGCTCGGTCAGGGCTCTAACTGTCGGGTCTCGTGCAAGAACTGGGGCATTACACTGACGACGGGAGACAAAGGACGCGGTTGTCGATTCGTTTTGCTGTATCTACCTATAGTCTCCATGGTAGTTCCTTTTTGGGGATACCTTATAAAATCCTTAACATATATTTGGTTAAACCAGAAAAAGGAACTACAATGGAGACTGGAGGTATATTTCGGAAGAGTTTATCAAGACCAGAGGATTCGGAAATGACGTCATGAACTGAGCCCTTGTGGAGTATTGCCATGAAAGGAGTAAGTCCTCTTGGGATAAGCACGGGTCGTAACAAGGCTTGAAGGATTCAGGAGTTGGGGGTTTAGGGGTTTAGGGATGCTTTAAGGTCTTGGGCTCCGCACTTTCTCCACGGCTCTAGAACTGCACTGCAACTGGCATCACTCACTGTTGTATAGGGTACGACACAACATGCAAAATCCGAATACACTGGAAGATGCATTGTGCGGAGCATTTACAATGGTACAAAGTAAACTATGTGTCTTGTCTGAATAGGTGTGTATATGTGTACATATATATATATATTATACATATATGCGTGTATGTATGTATGTATGTATGTATGTATGTATGTATGTGCAGGATCGCCCCCTATCAGGGCCACTTTCCGAACACCCCCCGTCGCTCGATCTTTCAGGACAAGCGGCGTCATTTCCTCCGGAGCCGCTGGCCTCCGACACGCTCAGGACTTGCTGGTCGTAGGTACCTTCTCCTTCCAGGGTCTGCGCTCCCCAACTCCTGGCCCTGAACTCGAAATTCGACCTTTCTTGAATCGAGACCTCTTTAAGGCATGTTTAGGGTTTAGGTTTAGGGTTTAGGGTTTGCACTCTCACAACTCGGACAAGGCAGGTTAGGGTTTCGGTTTTTTTTTGAACTCCTTTTTCCGTCTGCAAGGTTTAGGGCTTAGGGTTTAGCTCCTAGCCTGAAGCCTAAGGTTCATTTCCACCCTGCGAACCCCACGTCCCAAGCTGCCATACTCCTACTACTCCTACTGTGCTATCTCTTCACACCTCCGCCCTTCTTCCACTTCGTCACCCTAGTAAAGAAGGCTGCTAGTGCACTGAAGATACGAGCGGACCCAGTCTGAGACAACCGGCCGTGTTTTACACGGGCTTGATGGGAGCTCGCCCGGCCAAGTCCCCCCGACAACCGGCCTAAACCTCAAACCGCAAACCCGAAACGATCACCTCAGGCCCGAAACCCTAAAGAATCCACATTAAACCCTAAGACCCTAAACCCTAACCCTAAACCCTAAACCCAAAGCTCTAAACCCTAAACCCTAAGCCCTAAACCCTAAACCCTAACCCTCAGGGTCCCCCTAAGATGCCCAAAGGCCAGCAAGGCCCTGGAGCGGCCTGCGGCTTTGTTCACAGCCGCTTTGATCCTCGGCTGAAGAGCCGCAATACAGGGGACGCTGGGGGGGCGCCTTAATAGGTTGAGGGTTTCAGCACTCACAACTGGGACAAGCCTGGCGAGGTTCCGAGTACAGCGACGACAGCACATTGGCCAAGGGCTGGCACATTCACCACATCCCAAAAACTCACACTCTAATTAAATCCCAACACATCTAGGCCATCACGCAATCTCCTTCCTTCCGTCACGATCCTCATGAGAGCTACCTGTACTGAGCGCTCCATTTCTCTCACGCCCCTCGCTGAAGCATGCACATGCATCATCAGTCTGGACGCATGGCATGTCTCAGCACAGGCTGCGTAAATAGGGGCCATGCTCCCGAATCCAACATCAGATGTAGACGCCACTGGCCGTGCAAAACGGCATTCACGTTGTACGTCCACCATCAAAGCATGCATGGTGTGCCCAGATACTTCTTAGTCCGAAAAGCTATGAGAACTCCAGACTGTTTGTAAACAGGCTTCATGCAGTGCATGCAGTAAATTCTCACTCTTTCATGTCCTGAATGCTTGACCAGTACCAAATTCCCACTTCTCCACGTACTTCATGCACTGAATTCCAACCCATGCATATCCTCCTGTAGACAGATTCGACAAATGTCCCGGCGGCTCCTCTGTTGCCTTCTTGCATCATGCAGAACCTAGTATTCCATGCAGAGATCCTCATACAGGAAAGCGTCGTTGTCGCCTTATGCAGAAGGCTTCGCCAGTACATTCCAGCGCTCCAGGGTGCCATTGCATATTGTAATGGCACCGAGGAATTTCGTGCCCCCAGTCAGCGTCAGTGCCTTCCATCCCAGGGTGCCTTCGCTGAATCCATGTTGCAGGAGGCTTTCGAAAGCTCGCATGTCCCACCTTTGCAGAAGGCCCTCAGCGAGTCCTCATGTTCCACCAAGCGGGTTTGAGCATCGCCATGACGTTCCAGCGCCCGTCCACTACTGTCCACAGTCACATCTTTGCGTGCTCATCTGTTGTTTTCATGCATCATGCAGAACCTAGTATTTCGTGCAGAAGTCCTCACACAGGAAGGCGTCACTGTCGCCTTATGCAGAAGGTTGCGCCAGTACATTCCAAAGCTCCAGGGTGCTCTTGCGCATTGTGATGGCACCGAGGAATTTCGTGCCCCCAGTCAGCGTCAGCGCTTTCCATCCCAGGGTGCTTTCGATGAATCCATTTTGCAGGAGGCTTTCGAAGGCTCGCATGTCCCACCTTTGCAGAAGGCCCTAAGCGAGTCCTCACGCCCCGTTCGTTGTTCCAGAAAAAGCATCTCAGGGCCTCAGTCACTGTCGTAGAAACTTGGTCCATGGCGCTGGCTTCCGCGGGTTAGTGGTTTCTATAACCAGGGGCTCGGGAGGGCGGGTTTCCTATTGGAGGCGTGACGACGGCACGACATTCTGGCCCGTTTCGGGGGGGGAGGAGGGGGCCATGTGCTGGCGAGAGGGCGAAGCCCATACCTTGCATCCGTGTCGTTCTGCTGCCATTCCAGATCCTGCGCCGGGCTATGATTCTGGCTGCTCAGGGGTAACCAGGAGGGGTGACCACGGGCATTGACCTAGCTAGATGCAGGATGGATACTCACAAGGACTGATACATCACGCTTGGGATTGGGGGGTAAAGTTTCGGGCTTCGTGATCTTATATCCTCCCTCAGCGCGGCACAGATCAGCGCCCTACCTGAAAACCTGCATCCCCACCCCAGTACCCTGAAATCACGGACGGCTGCAACACGCTGTTCTGAGACTTGAAAGCTGTGGGGCCTCATGTATTTACAAATGTTACCTTGAAGACAGTGGGGGCCTAGTGTATTTGAACATGTTCCCCTCGGGCCTTGAAAGAAACTACAGTTCGAAAGCAGCACAAGCCAAACTCGGAAGACAAGCGCGTAACACTCCGTCGTTTTGCAGCAGTGTTCATCCTGGTGTGCCCTAGTGGCGTGTCATGGACCATTATGGCCATTCTCGATGGCCTGGTCATGCATTAAATTCTAAATTCTCCAATTCTGCTTTATGCTGCACATGCATACATCGTGTTATTCACGTCATTCGCGGGCAGCATGCAACAAATTCATGGCAACATGCACTCAATTCATCACAAATTCCTCAATTCATCATTGTACATGCATGCACTAGGCCGGGGCGCTACACCCCGCAAAAACTGCGACGTGTGCAGCCCAGGATTCCCAAAACGTGCAGCGTCCATGACTTATTGACAGGGTGCCTGTTAGCTCCAACAGCAACACGCTAAGTTAAGTACAGAGAGGGGGGGCCCTAAACAACAAAGGGCAGCAGGCACCCAAAATTTGGGACTTTACACGCCACCTCCTACCAGCTGTGCAATGACGCTTCTGGGGATGCAGAGAACTCTACCGTCTGGCAAGGTCACTGGCGTCAGGGCCGGCATTTGTCTCGGCATAGACATCGGGAGCTGTGAGTCCAGGTGCAACAGAGTTGGGCCCTGTGTCGAGTCCGTAGGAGCGGGCTGGGGCGGAGGCGTCCATGGACCCTGCTGTCCTTGACCTCCTGCCGGTGGTGGCGAGTTCCCACCGTTGGCACCATCTCCACGGTTGGCGGGGGCCATTGCTTCAACGGCCTGCCGGACTTGGTCCACGTTGTGGATCACCTCGTCGAGCTTGTCGNNGGCAGATGATCCGCCGATTTGTTGATCTGACCCACCTCTTGTTGGACCCACGCCAGCAGGTCCCGCGTTTCGCGGTGCTCCTTGATCATCTTGTCGTAAGTCTTGCAGACTTCGCGCAAGACTTCATTGAACTTGTCCTGCATGACCGTCCCCAGTGCTCCGACGGACTTTCCAAGCTTGGCAGACTCCTTTTCGACCCTGGCTATGGCTTCCGACACACATGTCTGTATGTCGCCGCGAACTTTG